ATGTGGCTGCATTATAACTTGGGAGTTCAAAATAACAGTGGCTTATAGAACAGTTTATTTCTCTCAGGTAAAAGAAGAGCAGAGACATTATCTTAGTTCATGGCTTCCATTTTCAAGGTTACCTGGTACTCAAACATTGCATGCTGGAATTCCAGCCATCATGTCCACATTCCAGAAAGCAGAAAAGAGGAAGCTTCTTCAGAGAGCTTTCCTGGAAGATTCCACTCATATCTCATTGGCCCAATTTAGCCATGTGGCCAGCTGTCATCTTTGAAGTAGGCATATTATTGTTGTCTATAAAAAATGGAAGAACTACTACGGGAGATGGAAGAACTGACACGGGGTAGAGAAGTAGTAGCCTCTCTCAGTTTAACTATGCCAGACCCTGTGTGATGCTGAAATTTATCTTATCAAAAGTACATCCCAGTTCTCAGCGATCACACATACATTTACCATTCCTGTTGATGTAAGCAAAAAGGGATAAAGAAGATAGTATGACAAAAGAGATAAGACTCCTTAGGGCTGTTTAGCCTGGGGACTGGTGGTGAATTCTCAGTGGTGAGGTAGATAAATCAGTTTCCAAGTGGGCCTTTGCCCAGGTACTCAGAGTCCCATGCTTCATTATTTTTTCTATAAACCAAGGTTTTACTCATGGACAGGAAATATGTGTCACAATTGTTCTCTTCCTTTCCTCGTGGCAGTGTTTTTCCCTGTTTAACTGGAACATGACCTCAGAATCCTTCTCAATATAATGTTCCTGGCAGTTAGTCTTGTCCGAAAGATTTGTCATTGGTGTTTAAATTTATTAGTCATCTTTATTTGATTGTGGAAATTTTCAATCTGACAGTGTCTCTGGGTACAATTCTTTAATTTATGGGATAAATCTCTTACAGGTGTATCCGCAGGTGATAAAGATATGTATTTATAGGTAGCAGGCTTGGCATTCTTCAGAATTTAGCACTAAATGACTGCAATCACTCACATTACTGGACATGTTCTAAAACTGCTTTTTTGACTGTTCACTGGACTATGAGTTTCTCTAGGGCAAGAACTATATCTTATCCATTTTTGTATCCCCAAGATGCCTGGCTCAGCACACTTTCAAATGTTTTATCCATAAATAAATCACCTACATTGGTCAAGGTCAAGTGGCCATCAAAGTAAATACTTCCCAATAGATAGTTACATTGTGAACTGCTTACTATCGACTACTAAAGGGAGGCCTTATTTGAGGGGAGGTCGTTGGGTGACAAGATCATTGGTGGTACAACAATGAGCCTTGGTTATTTCACAACTGCCTTACAAATGTTTAAGTAACTGACATAGCAAACTAGCTACCAGTTGACAAAGAAAGGGCAGATGTACTCTGAGCACATTTATTTATTTTTTGTTCCTGAGACTAGCCTTTTCCTTCTTTTAATCGAAGGTGCAGGTCCTATGTTAACTTGGCTCAGTGCTTTCTGTATTCTAAGAGGTGATTCAGGGAGTTGTGCAAATGACAGATTCATATTTCATGGATAAGTATGTAGCTGAAGTAATACTGTACTTATGCTCTACCTAATTTAATTAAGGTGGTCTATATTCACTGATTTGTTTTTCTGATTTTTGCTAAACGTCACCCGAGGATATTTTTTTTTCCTTTGATTTTTTTTTTTTTTTTTTTTTTAGAGAGAGTAGAAGGGCGGGAAGGGGAGAGAGGGGAGGGAACACTGATGTGAGACACATCAAATGGCTGCCTCCTACATGGGGATAGGACCTGCAGCCCAGGTATGTGACCTTGACGGGGAATTGAACCAGGAATTGAACCTGTGACCCTTCAGTGCGTGGGCCAATGCTCCAATCACTGAACCACACTGGCCAAGGCTCACTGATTTGTTTTTATAAGATCCTATAAATAATTTAATACTCATATCATTTGTTTTAAATATTTTGGTTCCATTATAATTTTTGTTGAAAAAATAAGTTATGACTGCTAAAAAATGTGAAGAGCATTGACTTAACTAGCTCACCCAAGTACCATATCTACCTCTTAATAATGACCAAATTCTTAAACCCTGGTAACAAAGAAAGATGAAAAAAAAGAATTACAAAATGATTCTTTCTGCTCAAAGAGCAGGGTTGGTTCTGATTAGATCCAGGTTGATGTTTTCTAAGGCTAAATGTTTTGAGGACAGGGTCTTGGGTTGGAGTTTCACCTTTCTTCTCACACTCCAGCCCCAATCCTAGGATAGATCCGTCCTATTGAGGAAGAGTTCCCACATTTAGATTCCCAAGTGACATAATGTTAGAGATGGTGTGGCTAAATTTCTGCATAATGCTTCTCCTGTTGACATGCTACTTAACTCTGGTCAGAAGAGCTGGGCCCCACAGAAATAACAAGGCTCCCTTCTCTTCTCTCTTCTCCAACTAGTCAAAAGCAGTCACAAACAGCTTCATTCAGCAAGAGAATAGAAAAGAGAGTAGCAACACTTGAGTCTCTTTTCCACTCAAAACCTTTGCAGATTTCTTCTCTCATTATTCTAATCTATTCTCTGCCCCTGTTCTGTTCAGTGATATCTAAAAGTGGGGGCAGGAGGTTGTTGGGCTGGATGTAACTGAGATGGGACCATAAGGTTATGGTCTTTGTAATCAGAACCAAGGTGCAACAGTTAGGTCATTTCTCATTAATCTTACTTTAGAAAGATTTAATTACCGGAATTAAAGTGTCTTTATTTGTAAAATGGTAGATAAGCATAGGCTTAGATGTAAAAATATACTTAGTACAATGCGTGGCTTCTAGCAGGTGCTTAATAGATGACAGCTTGTCTAAAGTGTCACTGTGTGTCAAGCAGGAGGCATCTCTGCCTGGAGGAGTTTGAAGTGTGTGTGGAAGGGTGTGGTGGTCGGCGCACAGGTAAATCACTGGTGAGGCTTTAGCACTTATCTTTCTTCCCCAGGCCTGTTGACCAAAAGTCATACTTCTGAAAAAGTCCAACAGATGCATTTCTAAGGGAAATAAATACAGTGGGAATCTCAAAGAGTGGGTAGGGGTGGTGAGGGGACAGTCAAGTCCCTGCAGACCAGAAGCTGTCCTACTTTTTGGCAGAGTCTGTGGCTACCCTGACCCCTCAGTCATGTTTTCCCTTGCCTCCAAATGTTATTCCCAGTTAACACTACCCAGTGACCCTGAAGAAGAGGAACCTTGAGACAGACATGCTGTCTTCTCAGTGTCATTTGATCTGTCCTCTAAAGCCCTTCAAACCATGTCATTAATTGTAAATTTTATGATTAAATACAAATTACTTAATGTGCCTAAGTGAATATGCTATACACATTATGTTTCAGTAATTGCGTGCTTATGGTGCCTAAACTACAAAACAACAATCAGAACAGACAGTACAGAAACCCGCTCTGATTTTCAGCCATTTTACCCACATTGTAGCCCTGAAAATCTGGATATGCACACTCACTGACTTGTAGTTATGTTCCAGCCCATCTTTCCTGAGACGCAAGACTGTCAGACTACCTTAGTGAAGAGCTTTATTTTGTCTTACTACTATCTTCCCACTTTCCTGCTACATTTCTTTAGACCTTCCCTTCTGCACTTCCTTTGTCATCTTGTCAGCATCAGCACTTTGCTGCCATTTATTTTCCAAAGACATTCGCCAGTTATCCTGACATTAATATTGTTGGATCACGGAGCTTTTTAAAAAATGTGGCCTAATAAATGTATTAAATATTACCGAGAGGGGCAGAGCAAGTTAAAAAAAGGCTGGATGTCAAGAATTAAACGAATTAGTGTTTATACAGCGAGATGTACACACATGCTGATACCAGATAAATATTAATTCCCGTACTTCTTTTGTTCTCTTTTACTACCATCACTTCATCTTTCTGGGTCTGTTTCCTCATATGTTAAAAATTATGAGCGTTGCACCAAGTTTCTCCGTGTTGAAAGCATTTTTTCCCCAGTCTCTCCTCACAACTTCTTCACTGAGTGTTTTTGGAAGCGGGTGGGAAGGCCATTTCTGCCCTAGGCCGGAGGGTGAATGGGGACACTGGTCGGGGTCGCGTCCCAGAGCCCGGCGCTTCTTGGCGACCTGGATTCAGACAGACAGACAGACAGACAGTGCCCAGCATGACAGATGGCAGCAGCGTGTTAAGGGTAACAAGGATGGCTGGTGTTACGTACCTGTCTCTACCTCACATCAACTTCCATGGGACTCAAAATGCTGCAGCTGACTCCACACTGAAATAGCCCAGGTTATGGTCTTTGTAATCAGAACCATCAAGTCCTCTGCACAGCTCAAAGCAGAAGAGAGAATTCCCAAATCAAGGGCAGCGTCCTCTTAAAAGCTTAAAAAAAAGAAAACGAAGCAAGGTCCCGGAAGTGGCCAGCGCAGCCTCAGGCACCCCGGGCCGCCACACACGCCCTCCTCCCCGGGGAGCATGAGGACCGAGACCAGAGAAGACCGAGACCAAGGCAGCCCGAACTCAGGACGCAAGCGGCTGCCAGGTTGCCGCGGCCTCGTCTGCCCTCCTGGCCGAGATCTGCTTCCAGGGCAGCGGGAAGGGGCGGCGCCGGGGCGGGGCGGGCGCCGAGCCTCCTCCGGGCGGTACAGCGCCGGCCTCCCCGCGCCGGGTCCAGTGCGGTGCCCGCCCCCGCCGCCCCGTCCCCGCCGCCCCGTCCCCACACCGCCACCCGCGGGGACACGCTTCTCTGCCGCTTGAACCGGAACCTCTTGCGGAGGCCGCCGCCGGACCCGGGCGCCGAGCGGGAAGCGCGGGGAGGCGGCCTGCGCAGCGCCCGCCATGGCCGCGGCGGGGTGAGGCCGGCGCGGCAGTTGCAGTCGCTCAGTCGGGCGTTCCTCCGCCGCGGACAGGCCCGGGCGGCGCGGAGGCCGAGGGAGCCGCTCGCCGCCGCTAGTCGCCACCGCCGCCCATGGCGAGGGCCCGCCGCCGCTGCTGACCGCGCTTCCGTCGGTGCCTGGCGGCGGGCGGGCCTCCGCTCTACGCTCGGCCCTCGGAGCCCGGCGATGGGGAACACTACCTCGTGCTGCGTGTCGTCCAGCCCCAAGCTGCGGAGGAATGCACACTCCCGGCTGGAGTCCTACCGGCCCGACGCCGACCTGAGCCGCGAGGACACGGGCTGCAACCTGCAGCATATCAGTGACCGGGAGAACATCGATGGTGAGCGCGGCCCGGCAGGGACCCGCACCCGCCCGCCGGCCTGATGGCCTGGCCCTCAGCCTGGCTGCGGGCCCGGGGCTCCGCTACCGCGGGCGGGCCGGGGTGGGGTGGGGGTGGGCAGGTGTCAGGAGCTGGCTCTAGTCAGCCCTGGTCACCAGACTTGAAGTGACATCGTTGAGCGGGAGCGGCCGAGAGCCCGGCCCGGTCTTGTCTGGGCCAAAGCCCAGCTGTTCGAGACCAAACAGAGCGCGTTCGTTTTTTCAAAGGTGAAGAGAGGTCTTGGGCAAAACTGAAAACGCAGTCCTTGTTTTGGGATTAATCTCTACCTAGAATTGGAGAATAGGGTTGGCCTGTGTCAGCTCCCAGAAAACTTACAAACTGACCCCACTTGGCTGCTCCCCACCAGCATTTCCTTTAAAATCTAAAAAACAAAACCAAAGCCCTCCCTTCAAAAATGACATTGGGGGAGGGGTGCGATTGAGGGATTGGAGTCTAATAGTTCCACCCGAATGCTTAAAAAATTCTTTAAAAGTGTCACTAGAAGGATTTGGAAACAGCTTTGGGTTAAGTTGCCCTGTTTTTGCTTGGGGCTGAAAATACTGTCGTATGAAGTCCCGATTGATCTGAGTGACTTTTGGTTTGAATTAGTGTTTGTAAAGGAATTAAAAAAACTAATCACTCTACCTAGTAAAGTTTACTTATTTTATTGGTTCTTGAATAATATTTTTATTAGTACGGTTTTTTTTTTTTTTATCATCCTCACCCGAGGACATTTTTCCATTTTTTGTTCAGGTAGAGTGGGAGGGAGAGAGAGGAACAGAGAGAGAGAAACATCGATGTGAAAGGGACACATCAAGTGGTCGCCACCCGCACAACCAACCAGGGCCGGGGACAAACTGCAACCGAGGTACGTGCCCTTAGCGGGAACCGAACCCGGGTCTCTCCGGACCCGCAGGCCTACCCTCTAACCGCTGAGCCAAACCGGCCAGGGCTATTAGTACGGTTTTATCAATAAGCTACGTGGCTTAATATCTATAGAAGGATAGTTTATGCCTCATGCGTAGAGTTTACTGTAATTTTCAACTTTAAGAAATTTGATATGTATTTTATTTTTTAGAAAGAGAGGAAAGGAGAGTGAGAGAGAGATGTAAACATCAATGAGTGAGAACATCGTTTGGCTGCCTCCTGCATGCCTCACACCTGGGATTTGGCCCACAACCTGGGTATGCACTCTGGGTATCCAACCAGCGAACTCTTGGTGCATGGGTCGATGCTCAACCACTGAGCCACACTGGCCAGGCTTGATACGTGTTTTTATGACAACTTGATTTTTCTTCTTGTAACCTAAAAAATCTCACAGTTTCTGTGGTTGAACACTCTAAAAATATTTCTTGTGTGAATGAATTGACACAACTCTGTCATAATTCATTCTTGTCAACTTTAGGATGGAACATTCCCTCTAGTGTGGGACTAGCTCAACTAAAAGAAACAATTTTCTTATTGTTTGGCCTTCTTTAATTTCTTCTGTGTAGTAATTTTATCTCTTTAGGACAGCAACTTTATTAAATGAGTATCACATATAAAGAGACTAATACAACATCTGGTTTATAGTAGGTGCTCAGTAAATTTGGGTTCCACATGACATTTCTAGTGTTGTTATTTTAGACTTCCATTATCTTAACCTACTCTTTAGATATTGTTGAACTACATGCATGCTTTATTTATTTATTTATTTTAAATCCTCATCTGAGGATATTTTTCTATTATCAGATAGAGTGGGAGGGAGGGAGAGGGAAGGAGAGAGAGAAACATCAATGTGAGAGAGACATATTGACTGGTTGCCTCCAGCCCAACCCGGTCAGGTCTGGGGACCAACCACAACCGAGGTATGTGCTCTTGACTGGAATCGAATCCGTGACTCATTGGTCTGCGGGCTGATGCTATAACTGCTGAGCCAGACTGGCCAGGGCCATACTTTATTTTTAAATTTATTCATTTAAAGGCATTTAGAAGGATATTAAGGTCAGGTGTATCTTGATTACTGCTATGGTCACAAGCACCTGAAGGAAGTGTCTAGCATATAATAAAGACTTAATAAGTATTATATTTTAAAGAAATAAATGAGTGAGTTTATTATAGAAAGCCATTATCCAGTCCTATACTGGGTTGACAGTGAAAAACATTTGACAGTAATTTCTCCTTTATGTTGTGCACTATTATTGGATAGAACCTTTATGTTATTTATTATTATTTTTTGAATATTTGTCTTGGTTTTTAGAGAGAGAGGAAGGGAGAGGGAAAGAGGAAGAGACATTGAGGTGAGACTGGAACTTTGATCTGCTGGGATCGAGCCCAAAAGCTGGCCATGTACCCTGACCAGGATTGGAACTATCAACCTTTTGGTGCAGGGACGACACCTAACCAACTGAACCACACTGACCAGGGCAAAGATTTATTTATTTATTCATTTTTAAAATATGCTTTTACTGATATTTAGAGAGAGAGAGAGAAACATCTATGTGAGAGACAAACATCAATCCCCTTCCTCCTACATGCCCCCTGCTGGGTATCAAGCCTGCAACCTGGTCATGTGCCCTGACCAGGAATGGAACCTGGACCTCTCAGTCCATGGGATAATGCTTAGTCCACTGATCCACACTGGCTGGGTGAGGCTTTATGTTTTAAATAATGGGTTAAGAATACAAACAGAAGGAAAGTTCACATTTCTTAGAGCCAGGCTGATACTGTTACTGACTATACTAGGGAAACAGTAAAAAAAAAAAAAGAAATTGTAATCAGGTTTTTGGCAATAAGGCTTAGGAGAATTTTGCCCCAGAAAAATAGAATAATATTATTGTGTGTTCTTTCATATGAAAGAATTCTAAATTTTGTCATCATTCACTTTTTTTAAAAATTCTTACCCAAGGATATTTTTCTATTGATTTTAGCTAGAGTAGAAGGGAGGGAGGGAGGGAGAGAGAGAGACAGAGAGAGAAACATCAATGTGAGATACATATCAATTGGTTGCCTCGCACATGACCCAGACCAGGGCTGGGGAATCGAACCTGCAACCCTGGTATGTGCCCTTGACCTGGAATCGAAACTACAACCCTTTGGTCTGTGGCCGAGACTCTAACCGCTGAGCCAAACCAACCAGGCCACTTTTTCTTTTTTTTTGTTAATCCTTAACTGAGAATATTTTTTCCATTGATTTCCAGAGAGAGAATAGAAGGGTAGGAGGGAGGGAGGGAGAGAAGAGGGGGGGGGGGGAGAGAGAGAGAGAGAGAGAGAGAGAGAGAGAGAGAAAGAGAGAAAGAAAGAGAGAAGCATTGATTGGTTGCCTCCTGCATGCACCCTGACTCGGGCCCAGGTTCAAACCTGCAACCCAGGTCTGTGCCCTTGCCCTTGAATCAAATTCTGACAGGCCAGGGCTCTGCTGTAACCACTGAGCTACAGGGACCAGGGTGGTCATCATTCACTTTTGAGAAAACATTTGGAAGACCACCAGCATTAGTTTTGAAGGTTCAGGATAGTTTCAGAAATTAGGTCTGGTTAAGAGGATTTCTAATTTAGGCTGTAGTGTCCTCTCACCCCAGAACCCAGTTCATATGATGATGCTAATTTAAACCCAGAAATATTTAAACAGTGTTTCTTTTTTCCCAAGTTCAGTAAATAATATTTCTGGTATTTGCTTATCCAGCCGTTCTCAACATTGATTTCATTTAGCCCAGAAATGTAGGACTGGATCATATTTAAAGCTCTCCAGGTAATTCTAAGATGCATCCAGGGTTGGGAATTGCCGCTGTTGTTCAGGGGCATTTTCCATAGAAATTTGTTCAGTGTCAGAGGTTGGAGAAGAGAACAGATTTAAGTTAAATAGGGTGTGTGTGTGTGTGCGTGCACATGTATCTATAAATATAGATGTGTGTGTGTGTGTGTGTGTATATAGTGTGGGTATATACATATAGGTGTATTATTGTTGTATGATTAGTAAACATTTTAAAACTACATCTCAGTTCTTTTCTTTTTCTTCATCCTCACCTGAGAACATATTTCCATTTTTTGTTCAGGTAGAATGGGAGGGAGAGAATGGAAGAGAGAGAGAGGGAGAGAAACATCGATGTGAAATGGACACCGCGAGTGGCTGCCACTCGCATGACCAACCAGGGCTAGGGACAAACTGCAACCGAGGCACGTGCCCTTAATGGGAACCTAACCCTGGTCTCTCTGGACCGCAGGCGGACGCTCTAACAGCTGAGCCAAACCGGCCAGGGCTCAATTCTTTTCTTAATTAAATTGATTGGGGTAATATTGGTTAATAAAATTATATACATTACATCTCAATTCTGTCTTTTTAAAATTTTTATTGTTAAAATTTTTGTTACAGATGTTTCTCCTTTTTTAGCTCATTGGCACCCTACTCCCCATCCCCCCACCCCATTTCCCCCTTTGTTGTCCCTGTCCATTGGTTATGCATACATGCATATAAGTTCTGTGGTTTATCTCTTCCCTTCCCCCACCCCCTCTTCTGAGGGTTGTCAGTCTGTACCCTACTTCCACGTCTCTGGGTCTACCCTATTCCTCAGACTGTTATGTTCATTATAATCCACAAATAAGTGAGATCATGTGGTATTTGTCTTTTTCTGCTTGGCTTGTTTTGCTTAGGAGAATACACTCCAGGTCTCTCCATGTCATCTCAAAGGATAAGAGATCTTTCTTTCTTACAGCTGCATAGTACTCCATTGTGTATGTGTACCACAGTTTTTTTATCCACGCATCTACTGATGGACACTTGGGCTGTTTCCAGATCTTAGCTATTGTAAATAGTGCTGCTACGAACATGGGGTACATATATTCTTTCTGATTGGTGTTTCAAGCTTCTTAGGGTATATTCCTAGAAGTGGGATCACTGTTTCAAATGGCAGTACAATGTTTAATTTTTTGAGTTAACACCATATTGTTTTCCATAGTGGCTGCACCAGTCTGCATTCCCACCAGCA